TTTCAGTTCCATCTCCGCGTCTCGCTCTGGCTTTTGCAGGTCACCTCTTCCAATTCGTGTTTGACCACAGAGACAGACCCGCAGGGGTGGCACTGAGCCGCCTGAAGCCTGGTGCACGTTACCCGTCCCCGACAGAGGAGAGGACAGAGCCAGGTTTACAGGTGTCTCGCTGAAACTCGGCAAGCACCCTGTGCTGGGCGGAGGCAGCCTTGCTGCCTCTAACAAAAACCGCTGAAACAAGCCTGGTCTGAGCGGTAGAACGCATCGGCGTAGCCCGAGGCGCCGCGCCAGAGGGACGTGCTTCGGGAGACTCAAGCAGCATGCAAGTATTTTTAAAAAAGGCGCTAGACCTACGTTAAAGAATTTAAGAAAGTGCTTTAACTCCTATGCCTCAGCGTCACGCGGTGCTTGCTCCCAGAGCCGAGTTCTGCTCTTCCAAAGAAAGCTCCCGTCACACAGATCAGAGCAAAGACGAGAAGGGAGTTAAACATTGCCATGGAGAAACTGAGGGCGCACGCTGTCCGAGGGCCTCTTCCAGGAGTCGCTGGGTTTCCTGCCTTTGGCCGTTAACCTGCAGGAAGCCCAGATGGTTCAGATAACACCCAGAGAGGGGACACTCGGCAGGAATGTTTTGTAAAAACTTCCAACCCAGAGCTCAGTATGTTTCGTACAGCTTAAGACAGTGTATTTTATCTTAATATCAGTGCCACTGAGTAGTTGGTCAAGGGTAAGTCCCTCGGAATGAGACTCTAAAAGCTTCGGTAACGATCTGAGATTGCCCACGAACACACTAACCAAATCTCCAACCGCAGCTCCAGTTTAAATACAATGACTAAATACGCAGTTTTATGCTTTTTCCACCCTATTCAGTTTCTTTCACCTTGCTAATGGATTTCTACAGAATTAAGAGCAGAGCCGTTCTGACATATTAACCAGCTAGCTTACCAACACTAAACGAGAACAGTTCGGGTTTGCACGGCAATTTCTACTGTACCGGTCCTGCCACGAGGGGAGTTCCCAGCAGACGAGTTTAATACAGAATTCCCTACGGAATAGTGGCGACAGGGGAAGAGCGTGCGCATGTGCAGACACAGGGGTGTCTGGGTATGCGTTATCCACATAAAACATACGTGTACGTAGGTATGTACAGATCCATGGTTATATATCGTGTTGCTATTTCAGGTTTTAGACCCCCCCGCCCCCCGTTTCATTTCAGTTCTCTGAGCACTTACACCGTACAATCATCTTTTAAAATGTCCAAGTAGAGAAGATTCTGCGCTAGAGAGAAAGGGGGAGGAGAGGGGAGAGAAGGTGACGTTATATTATGCCACAAGAGCCAATTAAAAGGCTCTCTGTACATGAACAGTGCTTCACAAAAAGGAAGATGATGCCAGGTTTCCATGTTCAGGTTGGAAGAAACTTGGCAGATGCCTGCTCTCTCAATTATCAGCCAACTCCTCTTTCCTCCACCAAACTAATATATATATATATATATACATATATGTGTATATATATATTAATCTTGTGGTCCAGAAAAGCACTCCATGAAGCAAAGCAGCTGAGCTGGCATTTAACTGGGCCCACCACGGGCTCACCGAGGCACCGTGCCCGCAAGATGCAGGGGTGAGCTGTGCTGAGTGTGGGGATGCTTCTGCTCACGGGGGTCAGAGAAGAGGGAGTTCTCCCGCCTGGGTGAAGTCACTCAGCGGGTACTTGACGAGCACACACAAGGCAGAGTCCACTCATCAGAGCCTTTCCAAAACCAGGCAGGTCCTCATACGCTCACACACCTCAGTCTGGAGGAAGTCAGTCATCAGTGAGGGAGAAGAAACGGGTAAAAACGTTCATAGGGTGACAGCCAACAGCGACCAGAAAAGGGAACATCCCACATCCCAACAGAGTGAACTAAACCGTACAAACGAGCTGTGAGACACTAGACAGGGACACCTTATTCTGTCCTCAGTGCAGCAGCTCCACCTCCCCCCACCCTGCCCCGCGAGCCTGCAGGTTCCAGCAGCCTGCTTCAGTCACGGGGCAGCTCGGCAAAGAGACCGGCGAAAGCAGGAGTCCCTCCTCCCTTGTCTCCAAAGTCAAACCCCTGGAATTCACACCAGATTCCACGACCCAGACTCGGGTACGTGTGCTTTCCCTCCCAGCGGGCTCTGCACGGGCCGGGAGGTGCAAAGGGAAAGCTCCGAACGTGGAACAGACGAGGCACAAGAGGCACTGAACGCTGAACCTCCTCAGAGCCCGAGGGAAGGGACCTCACAAGGAGAGGGCACTCCAAGGAGCTCCACGTTACGGTGCTCTACCCTCTGCCCAGCTTACAGGGCAGAGCAGCCCCGTGACCCTGCCGGGGGGACAGCTCCGAGCCAGGGCTACACCGCCCGTGAGCAGGGGGAGACAGGAGAAATCGGCCGTAGGCCACCCCACAGTTTAAAGACTTCCACGTGGACACTGGTTTCAAGCGCCAGGGGCAAAGAGGGAGGCAAGAGAGAGGAAGAAAGCTGTGGGGCTGGCCCTGGTACGCGGCTGGATTCGACTCTTTGACAAGGTGGTCCCTGTTGGTAGGGGTGAGGTCTGCAGGGGGTCAGTGTGGAGGAGCTCTTACTTACGCCTGTAAACAAGGGCAGGACTTCAGCTGCTGCTGCTTCCTTCCCTGAGAGAGCAAAGCTGCTTTCGAGACCCCTTTTTTGTCCTACAGCTGCAAAGGGAGGCACGGCTACCTGGTGGTGGGTCCCTGCTGACCGCTGCTGTCCCGCCTGCTCAGACCAGCTTCTTCACCCCAAAGGATGACGCCAGCCTTCCCAGCAGGAAGAGGAAAAACGATGCACCCAGTCAAGTTTGAACAGATCCTCCACTTTTCAGCCTCGTTTGCTTCTCACTACGGAGCTCTGGAGCGGTGGTTCTGTTGAGATGACTTTCAACTCTCGTCTTCTTATTGCCCAACAGCAAAAAAGCCCCGTGCAGGGCTAGCGCCGAGGAGAGACGGTGACGCTGTGAGGTGATCCCCATGCTTCCCATCGCTTCTAACACACTTTAACGTACCTCATGCATTTCTGATTTCCTAACTAAAATCTGTTTCCCACAGGGGCCAAAGGCTGAGCTGCAAGCACGGATCTTCCCGTGGCTCAGTGCCCCTGGACGGGCACAAGTCAGTTAAACAGCACAGAGGCCCCCTCCAGGGGCAAGGGGCTGGAGGCGGGCTGGGAGTTCTCTCCACGGGTTTTCACTTGTCTCTGCTCTCAGAAGGCAAAGGCTGTTCGCGCCCCGGAGAGAAACTGCCGGCTTTACTTGGGAACCAGCCCTCGGGACTGTGGGTAGAGCTGAGAACTCTGGGTGCCTGCTGAAGAGGATCCCCCCGACTTCCTTCCAGTTTTAGGCCTGAAGAAGTAAAAATGAAAAAATAAACAAAAAGCCCCAACAATGTCACCCGTTACCCGTCAAAATTCCTCTTCCAACAGCTGGGATTTTTTACTGGGTCTCCTCTCGAATCAGTCTCGTCCGTCCTGTGTTCCTTCCTCTCTGCTTTACAGCCAAGCTCGCCTTAACTGCGCTGACAGCGGCTGGACTTGTACCTCTGCTGTTGGCCCGCCTGCTCGGTAAAAGCCCACTCACCTGGGTTTTGATTTCTTGTTTGAAGTGCTCTCAAAGGTGGAAGCGTCCACCTGTATCTCATCTTCATCCTGCAGAGCTGCTTCCAGAGCCGCCTGAACTTTGGGAGCAATGGCTGGACCTTCATAGTCCCTCGTCGTCCGGCTGGGCATGTCAAGTTCCAGTAATACGATGTTCTCTGCCTGAGACAGCAAAAGCAGAATCAAAGTCTGCACGTGCTCATACAAATCGCTGCTTTTCCCTCCAGAGGCTTATGCTGAAGTACTTTATGAACGCCCGGGGGACACTTCTACGTCCCGCAGAAGAACCAACAATCCTCTGGAACTTGCATGCCCCTGCTCAGGAGGGGGAACACGTGAAGGCTGGAAGCACAAGCTGGGCTTACCCTGTACCGAGCCTCTGGCCGAATCATCATGGACGTCCTGGCGTGTTGGCTCAGTGGCCTCTTGTATCCTACAGCAGATACTGGCCTTTTCATCATCTGCTGGTTACTGGAGGAAAAGAGATACTCAGTCTGTTATACACCCAAACCCAAGACTCCTCTTCCAGTTTATGAGGTAAAACATCTGCAAGTTCCACACACGAATACGTTTCAAGAGAGCAGAAACCCCCTGGGCTGCATTTGCGGGAACAGCTCTCCACAGCCGGCAGGACAGTCGCCCTGTGTCGTGCGTTCCCTGCCCAAAGGGGAGGGCTCCTACAGAGTTCTGCTGTACAGACCCCAGCAGCGTTCAGCTGCACCCAGCTTTCTCCACTTGATGCAGAGAACTCTCTGTGTAGAGGGGCAGGATCTAGCCACAGCCCTCAGTAATTCTTTTTGAGAGCTTTCCTGTCTAAAGCAGGAAAGAAATATGATAGGGATTTATTGCTGTTCTAATGGTGAATGCACCAGTACATACATTTTACATATAATTATTGGGCTCATCTAGAAGAAAAAAACTAATCTTCCAAGAATTCTCCTAACTGCACATTCCTGTTTTACTCAGCCCACTAAGAGGAATAAGATTTTGTATTTCATTGTGCAGCCAGAAGCTATGAACTCCAGAGGGCCAGTCTAAATCCCTCTTTTGGGGTACCTTGTTCTTGACAGCTAGAGGGTTCTCCGTGACCTGTAATTCCATCCCAAGAAAAGACTAGCGGTACACTCACTCCAGACGGGTTATGGGATGCAGTTTCCACTGGTCTTCCTCTTCATCAAAGAACGATCTGTTCATGATCTTATTCTTTTCTTCCAAGGGAATAAAATTTTCAATAATCAGGTGCCTACACGCAACCACAAAAATGAGAAATACCCACGAAACATAATTAGCAGATGACTTTCTCCACTGCTCCTCTCCCACTGACTTAATGCAGCCCTGGAAAAGGAGGAATGTCTTTGTTTTCTCATGCTTCCAGCTTGTTCCACAAGCATGTGCAACGCCGTCCCTCCGCTCCCCACCCAGAGAAACCACCTCTGTTACAGGTAATCGCAGGCGATGAAGGATGGGACTTACTTTAGCTTCAGCTCCCTGGTGAGTTCATTCTGGGTCTGTTCCAGCTCCTGGCGCTCCTTGATGTGCTCTTCCTGGAGATCATGGATCTCTGCCTTCACAGCCTGCAGCTTGGAAAACAACTGGAACAGACAACAAGAGCCAAAGCCGTGACTGGCCAACGCTCCTTTCACTTTCACACGCGACTTCGTTCTATCCCTCACCCGCTGGACACGGAATCTTTTTCTTTTTACCTTTTTGAGCTTTTTGGTCTTTATGTCCACCTCTTGCTGAAGGGAACTGTAGGTCTCCTTCAGCTCCAGCGTTTCCTCGTCCCGACTTTCCATCTGCTGCTGGATCTCTCGCTCCCGACGTTTCTGAAGAAGGTGACACACAACATTAAAGACGACGATTACGTTGCCACCTCCGGGCTGACACCATGAAACCAATTCAGGACGTTTTTACTTCCCTGGGTTCCAGGGCTTTTCCTTTAGCTTCTGCTTCTTCCTATCTCTTGCCCTAAAAATACCAGAAGCATTAACTCTTCTCTGTCTTTATCTTGCTGCCAAAATCAGAGAGCGTGAATGAGTGCTCAAGTGTCAATTAAAGGAATGAAACGTCCTGTTTGGATTCCTTTTTTTTTTCATCAGCTCATACCAGTCACTGCACTGGAAGAATCACCAACAGAAAAAAGAAAATAAACTTTTAGCCCCGAGTAATCACCCCTCCCCTGAGCTAATGGCTGAACTGTCACTCTCGGAGGTCTCTTCACTTACAGACAGCTCCAAACGAGGTAGGACATAAATCTTTAACGTGACAAGCTGGAAGAAAACTACGAGAAACTTTCTTTACATATTTCATACAATGACAAATAGGACACAAGCCCTTTCCCCTTCTTTTTGAGCTAAATCATTGCCATTAAACCAATTTTAGGGTTAACCCTGGGAAATGCTCTTACAGTTTCTCCTGATACAACGTTTTATAAAAGTTCTGCACTGGCTTTTTATCCAAAACAAGAAATGTTCTTCCTCGTACCTGTTCTGCAATTTCCTGCCGTTTCTGTTCCAGGATTTTCTGCTGTTCATTTGTGTGATCCACAATATTTTTCCCTCCCACCAGAAGCTTGCTTTCCATCGCCTGAAAGGGAAAACCAGGGTCAGAAGTTTCTCTCAGTGACCACGGAAGGTGACTTCCTCTCGTACGGATACGACTTCTTCAGGGCAGCTCCCTTATTGAACGTTCTCTTTCAAGTCACCTGCTACAACAATTACTATTTCCTAAAGTTCCTATAAACAGAAACGTTGCTGCACTGGGTGGCAAAGCTGAAGAACCAAGTCACATGCTCTCCTGTGAAAAACTCGCTAATAATCTGTGACAGAACGAAGCTTCTTTTGTGCTACAGCTTGGGAAAAGCTGTCTCATCACATTTTGTTGTGCTGGTTGCTTAAGATGCTACAAGATCAGCACCTAAGAACCATGAAACGACTCACAAATACTGAAATATGTAATTAATGGTGGAAATTTCAACTTCTGTCTAGAAATGGTTTATTTTAAAATCTTCCAACACAAGTCACTAGCCTGGAAACTTCTTGTGAAATATTTTTCCAAATCGGGAAACCCTCTGTTCTCCCCACGGCCCCAGTAAATGGCTCTCAAAAAGTATGACAAGGAAGAATTCTACCTTGATTTTAGCACTCAACATTTCTGTTGCTTCCTTCTCTCGCCTCAGGTCCTCCATTTTCTTCTCCTTCTCTTTCAGCAGCCTCATCTTTTCTTCTGCTACCAAGCTGTGATCCTCAACTATAGCCTTCTTCTCAATCTCCAGCTTTTCTTGCTGCTCCCTCCAATAGTCATCTTTGTCATCGCCTTCATCCTCACCCTCTTCAGTGTCCTCCTCCTCTTCCCCACCATCTCTCCTCCTTTCCCTCCTCTTCCTTTTGCCAATAGACCGTTTTTCCAACTGCGCCTTGAGTCGAGCAATCTCTTCCTGGAATTCCCGTAGCAGAGCATCCTTAGGATCCTCATTCACCCGCGGCTTGTTCTTGATGTTTTTGGCACGATTGGCGTACCTCAGTGTCGTCAGAGTCTCCTCTACGTTGTAGGAGGCAGGGCCTATATTGGCCACCATCACGGTTTTGGCATTGCCACCTAACGAGTCTTGAAGCAACCTCGTCAGCTTGGAGTCCCGGTACGGAATGTGCGTGCTTTTGCCGTCCACGAGGGCAGAGATCACGTTGCCCAAAGCTGACAGTGAGAGGTTGATTTTAGTCGCTTCCTTTAGCCGTTCCCCCTGGGCTCCGGTCTTAGCTTGCCGCTCGCTGCCTGCAAGGTCCACCAGGTTGAGCTTCCCCACACGGATGTGATTCTCGCCATCGAGCCCCAACTCGCTGCACTCGATAGTGATCACGAAAATGGCGTGAGACCGAGAGCTGTGCTCGTTCATGTTGGTGGCCCCCACGGAGCGGTTTTGGTTCCCCACGTTCATGACGTGCTCGATCTCTTTGACGCTTTTTGTAACAAAGGAGGACAAATCCTTGACGTACACACCCGTGTCTGGTCTCTCCTTTAACTCCAGCCGCTTGGACTGATCCTTCGATAACAAGTCTCTGATTTCTTCTTGGTATATCTCCAAGTAAGACGCTCTAACGAGGTATTGCTGATTCTGAGATCTAGAGATGTGGGTGAAGATGTGATCGAATGAATTGGGGATGACGCCCCTTTTTTCAGGATCACCGCGCACCCCTTCCATCGTGTATGTTTTCCCCGTCCCAGTCTGCCCATAGGCAAAGATTGTCCCGTTAAACCCTTGCAGAACAGAGTCCACCAGAGGTCTGAAGGTCTCATCGTAGAGTTCAACCTGTTTGGAATTCCAGTCATACACGGCATCAAAGGTGAAAGTTTTGGGCAGTTCATGAGATGTTCCCCGTGGATTCTTCACTGAGACCTGCCCTAGCTTGACATCCACGTTAACAACCCTTTCGTAGGAAGCTGTCTTCTCTTTGCCGTTCATGGGCCGGCATCGCACCACCACCCGAACAGACTCGGAGCTCTTTAACTTCGACATGACAGCAGGGCTGGGGCTGGTGTCACCTGATCGATGGATGATCCCCTGCTAGAAACCTAAAACAGAAGCAAAGGAGGAATATGTGAAGGCGGTTTTCTGCACATGACAGTTTTTCACAGAGCCCAAGATTTGACCCATCTCCTCGAGCAGCGTTCTGCACTCCTGCAGCTGCCAGGGATTGTGAAGAATAAAACCAACGTACGTGAAAACTTTACAGGTCTGAACGGAGACGGGGTTATTGTACCAAATCCGTCCATCAAACGCTATCACTTCTACAGGCTCTGCTGCAAAAAATCTTCATCAAATCACATCTTTAGAGTTGGTAGAGATCCTTTGCTTGACCCTTCAAAATAATCGTGATGGGTTTTAAGCTATTTATAAAAATAATAGAATACTTTGCCATTGATTCCCTTTGGAGTCAGGCTTTTTCTTTTAAATCTCATACTTTGAAAATCCAGTACGGGCTTGCTCGCTCCATATTGCTCGGGCTCTTGAAAGGGAATCAGTGAGGTGCTTTGATTAAGTGCTTCACCTACCCACCAAAACTCCAGAGAGGCTGTAAGTAATAGAGACAGCGTTTTCAGTGCTGCCTCTTCTTATGCCTCCTATGTATTGACGAAAACTTCTTATATTTTTGAGTCATTTATGTTACAAATCCCCTCACATGGGATGTTCCATCAGGACCATCCTGCCACAGAAGGTTTAAAACCTATGCCTGTGTTTTCTGAAATGGCAGCAGTTCCCTGGAATGCTGCCCAAACGCTTTTCTCCTCTTGTGTGTTACCCTGTTAAAGTCACTTTCTAAAAGGCTGCTCACGGAACAACAGACCTTTAATTGGGCTGCAGGGGCTGCGAGGATTCAGGATAAAATCATTTAATCGTTTGTCCCTTTCCAGGCATCACATCCCCTGAATATTCTGCACTTCCACGCTTGGGAAAACTGATGTTAGCTTTCCTTTCTGTCAAGAATCGAGTGAAAACAATTGTTACAGGAAAGTTTTCACCCAGGCTCACAATCTAGCTCGCCACAGAGGAATCGTTAAAGCAGCCAAACGTAGCACAGTCTCCCAACGCTTGCAAACATGGCAACACGAACCAGTAAGGGGAGTGAATTACCCCAGTGAGGTGGGCTCTGGAATCAGTCAGCCACAAAGAGGGACATTCCCATCCCCCAACGGCAGCGAGGCGAGGGCGCCTGCTGCTGTAGGACCCCGGCATCGTGCCCCCACTGAGAGCACCGCTGCAGCCCAGTAAATTCGGACCCTTCCCACCCCAACACTGGGAGTGGCTGCTGGTCCCGCGCCCGCCCCGGGGGCAAAACCCGCGCCCCCCCCCGTGCCGCCGCACGGCCGCTCCCGGCACTCCACAGCCCCAGAACTCCCGCCTTTCTGTTCCATTTCCAACCTGGCCGCTCGACGCTGATCCTGCATCCGTGTCGCTTGCACAGGTCTCCTCAGCTCAGCTCAGGAGGGAGCAGCAGCGCTCCCCGCCCGCGTGCCGCAGGGAGCGGGAGGGAGAGCGGCAACGGCGCAGCAACCTGCATCACGCCTCGTCTGATGCTCAAGCAACCAGAGGACATCGGGGGTGAAGTGGACGCCTGCCAGGATTTGCCCTTCTCAGGCTTTTGAAGGTGAGTGGAAGCCCCTTTATATCACTTCTTATCAAAATGCCACAAAGCACTCGCTCCTTCGAGCCCACCCTCCTCTTTCTGTGATGAGCCCGGGCAAGGATCCCGCAGACCACCGCGGGTGTCCTCCCCAGCGAGAGCTCGTGCGCCTGGTTTCCAGGGCAGCTGAAGGCCCCCGTACTGGCCGTGGCTACTTCAAGCAGATCTATATTATTACTTTTCCTTTTGGCAGCGTACTTGCGCCGGGACTCCCCACAAGAGCCAGCTCTGCCCAAGCGCACCGGCCTACCGAAACACACCCACGGCCCTGCTCCGCCGTTCCCACGGAAGCAGGTTTACGAGATCCAGCATCAACCTAAAACTCACGGGGCGTAAACCCTGTTCACAGCCCCGAGCCCTTCACGACTCCGGGTAGAGCGGCAGAAACAGGCCGTTGCGTCCCCCGCTCAGCAGCACCACGAGCTGCCCCGGGGAGCAAGACGACGGTTAGTGCTGAGGCCAGAGCTGCGCCCGGAGGGTCTGAGCGGCGCAGCCCCTGGAGCGCCGGCTCATTTCTAACAAGCTTTGTTTTCAGAAACACCTTTCAGGAGGAGCTCTGAGATCCTTCTGCCAGTTGGAACCGAATGTAAAGCCAAGACCCGCTGGACCCCGGCAGCGCGGGCGCACGTTCAGCCGGGCCTCCGCAGGACGTTCTCGCCGCTCCGCCACCAGCTGCACCTGCAGCAGCCCCTGGACTTCATCGAACTGCGCCTCACTCGGTGACCGCACGTCCCAGGAGAGCTCCTCCAACGCGCCACAGAGGCCGTCAGGGCAGCGCCAGAGCAGTGAGAAGGGAAGCGGCACATTTCTAGCCCGATGCCCAGCCGGTCAGTCTGCGCTACGACGAGTAACCCGAGTGACAAATAAACACCTTTGAGAACCGTGCGGAAAGCTCAGCACGGCCTCCGGGATTTCCCTGGGTTTGTGAGGCGAAGCTCCCCGGCCTCGCCGTTCCTGTGGAAGCGCGTGGTGGCCACCAGAAGAAAGATGAGGAACGTGCACTGAAGTGACCAAACTGCACGCTCATCCCGACGCAGCGCTTCACAACCTGCCCAGCGACTTCAGACTGCTGCAGGAATTTTGGGTCACTGCTGACTGAAAACATTCCCTCCCAACTGACAACGCCAAACGCAGACGGCCTTCCTGCCCGGCCCACGCGGAACGAGGATTTTAGAATATCAACAGAGGAAGAACACGTGAAATGGGGCCGAGTCTTGCAGAATCACAAGCAGCAACGCTCCCTCCCCTCATCGTGAGCAGCTCTGTATACAAATACGCGCTTCTCCTCCCGTGTCTACCGGAGAAATTCCTATAGTGCGAGTTCACAAGGGAGAAACTTCATCTCTGTGTTATTACGGTGAACGGTCACGTTGGCAAACACTCACATCAGGCAGGAATTTGGAAAAGCAGAGCCTTGATTTATTTTAGCTAATTAACACCCAAACGACCATTTCGATGAGAAGTGCCGCTGTAGGCAGCTGGGCCGAACATCAAGTGACCGGAATTCAGTTAATTTTCACAGACTGCGGTTTTTACACACTGGGGGCCACACGCTCCCCAGGAAGTCAGAAGTGAAACACCCCGCGTGTGCCCCCTGCGACGGCTTTGGCAGAGGTTTGCACCGAACGAAAACGCTGGTGCACATTTGCTGTTCCTCTGGTTGTACCTCACCCACGTGAGCTCAATAACCTCTCGACACCTTTCCCCACTTCACTTGCGAGTCCCTTTTTATAGTCACAAACAACTTCTTTTCTCCCTGATTTGGGCTATTTTCACAGCGACCTATCACGAATCATCTCCAATTATTTCAGCTACTGCTGTGAAGTTTACTGGAAGCGTAACAAATGATCTGTCTTCTCAGACTTACCCAAGTGTGTAACTGAAAAATAAAACCAATTAGTTGGCAGTTTGTGTTCCCCAGAAACTCCACGGCAACGCTGGAGCTGCCCGGAGCGGTGGCCAGGGGCGGCCAGAAGAGCTGAAGGCCTCTGCTGCGGGGAGGGAGCTTTGGTCGTGAAATTAGTTCAGCCTAAAGCGGCCTGGGCCGGGTCTCTCGGAGTCCCGGCTGAGATAACTGCAGACGCGCTCCAGGTGAACCAGGAGGGGAGGGTTCAACCCAAGCGGTTTTATTTCGGCAACGCAAGGCTGTGCCTGAAAAAACGAGCAACGCCCCAGCCGGAGGGTGAGTTGCGGTAACCGCTTCTCCTCGGAATCCTCCAGGAGTCAGGGCCTGACAGCTGGGCCGGCCGTGCCCCGGGAACGCCACGCTCTCGCCGGCCACCTCTCGCCCAGCCCGTCTGCCTCCGGCAGGCCAAAGTCCCGAAGCCTCCGCGCTTCTGTTTAAAGATCTTGGGAGGATTTTCTTGGATTTTCTGCCTAAACGCCCCCCTCGTGTCTCCCTGCACATCCCCAGGTACCGCTTAAAAAACCCCGTCGCCTTCTGGCCGTGGAAATCTTTCAAATATTTGTGGGTTCACCGTGTCTTGGCTTAATTGCTTCTGTCTTTTACTCCTCCCACCTCCCTGCAGAACCCACCACGGCCCCAACACGCCACCGTGGGTGCCAGCGCTGCCACAGCGTGCCCTGATGTCACCTAGTGCCCGGGGTCACCTCCAGCACGGCGCCCCACGGGTGTCCCCCTCCCCCGGGGAGGTGGCGGCTG